CCCCCAATAAAAGCAGGGTGTCACTAGCACTTTTAAGAGACCAAAAATAATGCAGGGGCCCGAGACTGTTAAATTTTCCTCCAGCATACATAAGGGGGTTACCAACAGCCCCCTGACATCCTCAAGCGGCACTGGACAAGCACCTAAAGTGGGTTTTCCTGACCAGCCGGGCTGGGGCTCGTACTTTGGGTTTTTGCGTGCAGCCAGCAGTAACAGCCTGGTTGATCAGGCTCTGATCCACCAGGAGGCCTGGTCACAGACCGGGCCGCGGGGCGTTGACCCCCGGAACTCTCTCCAGGTAAACTCCAGGTAAACTACAAAAAGCAAAGACTTGGCAAAACGATGCAACATCCCCCAATGAAAAGCAGGGGTGTCACTAGCACGTTAAGAGACCATACAATAAGTATCAGGGGCCCGAGACTGTTCAACTGCCTCCCAGCATACATAAGGGGGATTACCAACAGACCCCTGGCAGTCTTCAAGCTGGCACTGGACAAGCACCTAAAGTCGGTTCCTGACCAGCCGGGCTGTGGCTCGTAAGTTGGTTTGCGTGCAGCCAGCAGTAACAGCCTGGTTGATCAGGCTCTGATCCACCAGGAGGCCTGGTCACAGACCGGGCCGCGGGGGCGTTGACCCCCGGAACTCCAGGTAAACTCCAGGTAAACCTGTGCACTTAAGGTGTGCATTTATCGTCGCCTGAAGTAAGAACAATTTATTATTTAACTGTTTATTAATTATATCATTATAAGCAGTCAACAATTTCGGTGTCTTGCTCAGTTCGCAGAGCTGGGTTTTTTAACTGTCCATACGCCATCCTATAATTAGTAGGTAATTCTGGACGGTCGAGCTTCCACGGAAGTCGCACCCAGTAATGTCCAGATTCACATTCAACATCCTTCAGGTATTGTTCCTGGGTAAAGGAATCATTTGGACTTTCCCTATGCTGTCCAGCTCCCACAAATTAGACTGGTTCAACATCATTCTCGATAGAAGAATACTTGTACTGGGTTGACCTTTTATGAGTAAGACACCGTGACTGTATTCACTACTTCCTCTAGTCATTATTACTAGGCGGTAGTTTGCCATATGTTACATGGCCCGTACCAGTGTTGAGGAGAGTGACGCCGCATGCTTTTGGATTTATGCCCTTTATCCCGAATTATTAAAATCCAACGCCGGCAGGGCTACCTCAGCTAGGGCCCTCATTATTGCCATTAGCTGCAAAAACCCTTTTCATCAGTCACTGTAGTGTCAGGGTTATTAACATTATCAGTATTGTTACCATTATTATAAGAATTACATACAACCCTGCACATAACTGTATGGTGCCTTCCCTTGTTGCATTGATAGCAACTGTTCAATTTGGTATGACAATCCTTTACATTATGATTGTCTAGACATCTGATAAATCTGTCAAGTTCTTTCATTCTTTCCACTTTAATATCCCATGAATTATAGGCATTACAATTTTTAGTGAAATGAGTACCCTGGCAGAAGAGAGAGTCTCTCCTTTCCTTGCCTGACCTCTTATTAACTGGGTTACCCTTACTGAGGTACTTATTCCTCTTACCTTGATGTGAGGAACCACTATTACTGATTCCTGTTACTTGATATGTGCCTATTTAACTCTTAATTATGATTATTACCAATGGGTGTATTTTTCCCTTTTTAGACTTGACATACTTCAGAGTCATTATGTGTTATATCCTTAGAACTGTTTGGCTGACTGGTCTGCAATTGAACAATTAATTCTTGCCGACCTAGTCTGATTTCCTCCAGACCGTACTCTGGAGGTTTTGGCAAACCCACCCTTTGCATTAATAGGTTGATCAACTGCCTGGCTTACACCCTTTAATTTATTCAAAGCCTTACTTTTACAAGACAGTTTTTCTTCCAATTCGTAATGTTGATTAATTAAAACATTCATTTCCATTCCATCTGCACAATTCTCCAGCAGATCTCTTTCACAGTCTTTAAACCACAATTTGTACCAATCAAATCTACTCTCTAAAGCATCTAAACATAACTTTAATTCATTAGGGTTCACGGTTCTTTGATTCATTAAATCAAATGCCTTCCACTAGTCGAAGTAGGTCTTCGTCCAAAGGTTGGACGAAGACCTACTTCGACTAGTGGATGGTACCACTATGACCCCGCCTCCGCCTGCTTCACCTCACCTCACTACAGTATATAAGCCATGTCTACGGCCCTATGCTGTACTTTCTACAAGATTGATGGACTGAACACATCGACTCCAGGTTGAGGGACTGATTACCTCATTCTCCTCCTCTCCTCACGCCTTCCTCTTTGTATTGGACTGATGAAGCCA